ATCCACACAATAAAGGCTAAGGAGACTGCTTACACGAAGATAAAGCTCGCCCGAAATCTTAATAAAGGCCAAGAAGACTTCCTATATGAAGATAAAGCTTCAACGGACATCTATCGGCATCAATCTACGTCCGAAAAAGGAAAGGAAAGCTTCCCAGGGGACCCAGAACGCGAAAACAGGCCAAAACAGGTTGGGACAGCCGTCCCAAACATCAAAAGACAAGTGAGACGCACGTCCCAAGCCCCAAAATTCAAGTGGGACGGCCGTCCCAACCCAAACTGGCCGTCCCACTTTTCCCCCAGCTTGGCCGAGTGCAAAACGCACGGTTGGGACGACCGTCCCAACCCGGACGGCCGTCCCGCATTTCCGAGCAGCGAAATCTATAAATAGGAGCCTCATTTGTCATTCTCCACACCCCGCACAACTCCAAGACTTGTCTTCTTCTCTCCCTCCTTCGAATGATCTCTCCGATTGCCTTTAATAGGTAACAATCGGTTAAGGAATTTGTATTCAGGCATTCGATTCTTCTAGAAAATTTTAGTCGAGTCGAGTCTATTCGAGAGGAGAGTCGTTGTAGAGTGAAGGATTGCCGCAAAGCGTCCTCTGTATAAAAGACTTATAATATAAAGCTTGCTTCGGAGGTTCTTCTCAATTCTCTTCCCTTTTACTGCTTTATTTACTGCTTTCTGTATGCAATGTAGATAAACCATGTAGATAACCATATTTAAATACTGTACGAATAAAATAGGGTAATAGCGTAATTTCTTGTAATCTTTACTTAAATGAATTAATCCGTCATAGGGAACCCGAAAGGGGCGTTGTGGGGTGTTAATACCTTCCCCACACGTAACTAACTCCCTTACCTAACTCTGGTTATAATGGCCAAGTTGGTTTTTATTAAAATCAATGCCTTTTTCTCCTTTTCCAATGTTTATGGTTAAAACATTGGTGGCGACTCCAAAAGAACCCTTTTCGAAAACCTTGCTTCTATTAGAGGATAGTTTAGTGTTGAGCACCTCGGAAGCAATGAACATATTTTTAACAAAAACGCGAGTCTCAACCATCTTTTTGCGACCGCTCGCATTAACGTTCGAGATGTCCCTGGACGTCGGAACAGACGGCGATGACAATAGGAATTGTATCCTTCATCGTTTATCTAGCATGGGAGATATAAATGAAAATAGAGATGTAGCTGTCAATGAAGGCATTTTGGTCGTGTATGATGACATAGGTAGTGATGCGGATGTACAACAATGTGATGGTCCTCTCAAAGGTGTAGACCAAGAAATGATAGGTGTACATGATAACATACCCAGTAATGCAGATGTCAAGAGTTTACATGAAGAAGTGTTGGTTGGCCATGATGAAGGATCTCCTGACGCAGATGTCAGGACTACAACAGAATACGATAGTTCTGTTCCATGTGTAGGAATGTCCTTTGAAACTACAGATGCAATTAAGTCATTTTATCGACAATATGCCATACAAAAAGGATTTGGCATCAAAACAAGGAGTTCAAAGAAGGGGCCCGATAACCAATTGTGGTACTTCATGTTGGTGTGTGCAAGGGCAGGTAAGTATGTTTCTGCTACACCTACTGAAATTAGAACCCAACCCACCAAAACAAATTCATGTCCTGCACGGATAACAGTTGGATTAAAGGAAGGACTATGGTATATTATGTCGATAAATGATGAACATTCACATTCTCTTAGCCCAAAGAAATCCAGAATGTTTCAAAGCAATAGGAACATTAGTTTGCATGTGAAGAGGACTCTAGACATAAATGATGATGCAGGTGTGAGGATCAATAAAAGCTTTCAGTCAGTTGTTAGTAGTGCAGGAGGTTATGAAAACCTCCAATTTTTCGAACGAGATGTACGCAACTATGTCAATAAACAAAGACGTGCGCTAGGAAAAGAAGGTGATGGGAAAGCTCTATTGAATTATTTTTCACAAATGAGGGACTTAAACAAGGATTTCTGTTTTGATATAGACTTGGATGATGATAATCGTGTGAAAAATGTTTTCTGGGCTGACGCTAGAAGTAGGGCGGCTTGTGAATACTTTGGCGATGTTGTTTCATTTGATACAACATACTTGACCAATAAATATGACATGTCGTTCACACCATTTGTGGGTGTAAATCATCATGGACACTCCATATTGTTAGGGTGTGGGTTGTTATCAAGTGAAGACACCACTTCTTTTATTTGGTTATTTGAATCATGGTTACGTTGCATGTCATTGAAGGCTCCTACGGGTATTATCACTGACCAGTGCAAGGCAATGCAAAATGCCATTCAGATAGTTTTTCCTGAAGCCCGTCATAGGTGGTGTCTATGGCATATAATGAAAAAAATTCCAGTAAAAGTTGAAAGGTTATACAGAATATAAAAATATGAAGTATGCTATGAAGGAGGTTGTTTATGAGTCTTCCACCATATCTGAATTCACATCCAAATGGGCTAATTTCATATCAGATTTTGGCTTACAAGACAATGAGTGGTTGAATAGCCTTTTCCAAGAGAAATAGAGATGGGTTCCATGCTTTTTGAAAAACCAATTTTGGGCTGGGATGTCAACTACACAACGAAGTGAAAGTATGAATGCATTTTTTGATGGATATATCAACTCAATGACATCCCTCCAACAATTTGTCAAGCAGTATGAAAATGCCTTACAAGACAAGGCTGAGAAGGAATATGAAGCTGATTTTGCATCTATGCATACAATTATTAATTGTGGATCACAGTCTATGATAGAGAGGCAATTTTAGTCGGTGTACACACATGCAAAATTTGCAGAGGTTCAAGCAAAATTTAGAGGAAAAATGAACTGCAGTGTTGTGCATGTGTCTTGCCTTGGATCTGCTTGGTTTTATGACGTTATGGAGGAATCTATTTGCGGTGAAGATTCTAAAGAACACCTGTATAGTGTAAGTTTCAACCGTGATGACCAAAATGTCAGTTGCACGTGCTTGCTATTTGAATTCAAATGTATTCTTTGCCGACATTGTTTGGTCGTCCTTGCTCAACAAAGGGTTAAAAAGATTCTGTGCAAATACATTTTAAGTAGATGGAGTAAAAATGTGAGAAGGAAGCATACTTATATGAAAACCACCTACAATGTAAAGGAGAAGCAACAACAGATTGAAAGATACGATGAGTTGTGCAAAAGATTTTATGAGATTGCTGAAGTTGCATCAGAGTCAATTGAGCAGACGAACATGTTGCATGAAATGATGAATAAATTTGCTCCAACACATACATTTCAACGTTCTCAAACTGAAATAGATACCAATATCTGCGAAAGTAATACTCCTACAGATTCACAAAGCTTATATGTTGACAACGTTGACATTGACATTCGTAGCCCGTTGCATGTTAAAAGGAAAGGAAGACCACATTCACTCCGAAAGGTGTCAACAAGTGAAAAAATTGCAGCGCGAAGGTTAAAAAATAAAGGCCAGCACACGTGCACCACAAATATTGTAAGTATTATATCCACAACTGTCATGTTATTTTGTATTGGATGATTTCATAAGTTCATTAATATCTTATCTTCGCCATTACAGGGGAACACTGAAGGAACTTCGTCCGAGTTGTTAAACTCAACCCTTCACATAGAAACTCATGTTGATTATCGGCCATCTGGATTGGTGTGTGTCAAAAATGAAATTTATTTCATGTTATTGTGATTGTTCAATTTGAATTTGCTTTATTTAAAGTGTGATATGCAATTCATTTGAATTTCTTTGTGGGACTGATATACTGTTTATGCAGTATATGTTATGTAAAATGGCAGTAAAGTCATATGTCAAAACTCATGTAATTGTTGCCCTTTGCAGCCATCAACATTGGGTACCACTGGTTTTGTGTCGTTTTTGACATCACTTGACAGTAATGTTGACGACACACAATTGTCTTCCTCAACAAAATGGTTTGGAAACATTTTTTTTAATGAAATACTCTGTTAACAATGAATATTACATTAGTTTTGAATTGCATTACGTTGATGTATACTAATAATTTCTTCTTCAACTTGCAGGACATAAGTGTTAATATCTACTACATAGAATTTTGTAGTGTTATTTAGATCACAACTAACTTAGTGACGTTTCAATGACTTTCAACTGCACATGTTAACAATATAACAATGTTGATTGATGAGTGCTTTTTTTGATTCAATGTCTTGTTGGCTGGATAACGTCATCAGTAGTGTAGACTATACATTCTGATTTAGTTAGAGTATATATGATAGGACATAAACGTGCAACAGTAGTGTAGACTATACATTCTGATCTTGTAAGAGTTGTGGATGTAAATATAACAATGTAACAGAAATTGTAATTTCTTCAATGCATTTATCAGCAGTTGATGGTCCATACATTTACGTAACAATCATCGGTTGTATATTACGTCGAATGAAAGACATGTAATAAAAATCACACTGCATGATAACAACAAACTACCTTCAAAAAAATCGAACCCAATTGTAGACATTTCAATATATAACAAACCAATAATATTAAAATAATACAATCTAAATTTACATTGATGTTTATATGTCTACAACAATTAAAATTCACAAGTCATTCATTATTACAATCCTTCAACTTCATGTTAACAAATTGGTCCACCAGTTCGTTGTACACATCACACTATATAATTGCATCCTGTCTTTTCTTTCTGGTGGCAAGAAGCTCCATTTGAAGAGCTTGACACTACACCAACAGGGTTGACATATGACCTGATGAAGAACATGACCTCTTGCCTTTGTCCTCATCCTGGCACCGACAAAAGAAAAAGAGTGTCAAAGAGACTGTGGATTATAATGAAACATCACTATAATGCCAGTTTAAATACAATTGGACAAACATTAGCAATGGAACAAATAGTAGTAATGTAAACAAACAGATAAAATCAATAATTTTTGCAAGTAATGATACTTACTTATATGATTTGCTGTCTCATTTATCATGCCAATTGTCCACCAACATTTTTATCAATACTAGCTATAATCTTGCGGTAGAATTCCCAAGATACATGTGTATTATTAATAGGTATTTGCCCAAATGGATGTTGCTCTACATACTTAGGAACATTTTCAGCATTTGACAATCCATGTAGATATTCCCGCAGATCACCTCCAATAGCTAGTGAATTATCATTTTTATTGCAAGGATCAAATGTAAATGGAAAGACCGAGTTGTGCGGAGGATTAAGTAATGCTTTGTAAGGAGAATCATCCAACAGTAATGTGTTGGATTCATTGTAGTATCCTTTCTCCCATGGAAGATTAGGATCACAACGCTCCCAAATTTTTCTCAAATCCTTAAAAACCACTGGCTTTTTTTCATTTTCTAGGGTCATGAAATGGGTGGCAGTACAATAGGAACCATCCCAGCAAAAAAACAACTTGTTCTTCATATTTGGCATCAAATATTCAATGACCTCCTCAATATTTTTCTAGTTTCTTGAGGTCCATATACCAACTTCAAAGTGCACGAAGCAGAACTTTAGAAACTCAACATAAAAAGGCCTCTTCAATATTGCTTGACGTCTAATGAAATTATCTGGCTTGAGATTCTTAGGCGGGGACTAAGTTATACGCGCAAGCAAGCCATTTACATCAAGAACAAGAACCTTTTTCTTCAAATGTCTAGGGGTGTTCACTGCATCTATAACACCAACAGTTAATTTAATTACTGCATTACAATCCATCTTATGTTTCTTATGGAGGGGGCCAAACCGTACCTGCTAAATTAGTTAGTTGGCTCTGAGGTGCAACTAGCAACTTATAAATCTCACCAATTTGTGCAGCTAGACCATCAAGCCGCTGGTCTTGCTGGTTGTAGACCCCTAATTTTGCCCGGCCTCTCAAAAGAAAAAGCTAGAGGAACTTCACCCGAAGATGGAGTCCATCCGGCTTCCCAAAAACGAGGAAACCTCCCGCAACCAATACAGAGATCGCTCGTCTACACGATAACGAACAAAGGAGACTTCCTACACGAAGATAAAGCTTCAACGGACACCTATCGGCATCAACAGGTCGTCCCAAACACAACAGGTGGTCCCAAACACAACAGGTGGTCCCAAACACAACAGGTGGTCCCAAACGCAATGGTGGTCCCAAACGCAACGGTGGTCCCAAACGCAACAGGTGGTCCCAAACACAACAGGTGGTCCCAAACGCAACGGTGGTCCCAAACGCAACAGGTGGTCCCAAACACAACAGGTGGTCCCAAACACAACAGAGTGGTCCCGAAACGCGAAAACCGGCTGAACAGTGCTGAGACGGCCGTCCCAAGTTGGGACGACCGTCCCAACCCTCCAGATTCGGCTGGGACGCGCGTCCCGAAGTTGGGACGGCCGTCCCAAGGCCAATTTCAAGTGGGACGGCCGTCCCGTGTTCCCCGGTGGTCTCGCCCGTGTAAAAATGACATTTGGGACGGCCATCCCGAGCCCGGACGGCCGTCCCAACCCGGACGGTGGTCCCAAAGTGCGCCACTGCGAAAACTATAAATAGGAGGCTCATTTGCCACTTTTTCGGACAACAGACACTCCGAGAGCTCGAAACACTTTCAAAAACTCGGAGCACTTGTCTACTTCTCTCCCTCTCTCGAATGATCTTTCCGATTGCCTTAAATAGGTAACAATCGGTTAAGGAATTATATTCCGGCATTTGATTCTTCTTTAAATTTTTAGTGGAGTCGATCTTGTATTGGTGAGGAGAGTCTGTATAGAGAGAGGGGTTGCCAAAACGCAACCTCATAGTTTGAGATTCTCAATATAAAGCTTGCTACGGAGGTTCTTTTCAATTCCTTTCTCTTTTATTGCTTTATTTATTGTTTTATTTTATTTATTATGTCATGTAGAATAAAATCATGTAGATAGCCATTTTAATATCTCTTTTATTGCTTTATTTAGCTTTATTTATATAAAATTATGTAGATAGTCATTTCAATATTATGCAATAAAATAGGGTAATCGCGTAATTTCTCATAATCTTCACTTAATGAATTAATCCGTCATAGGGAACCCGAAAGGGGCGTTGTGGGGTGCTAACACCTTCCCCACACGTAACTAACTCCCTTACCCAACTCTGGTTATAACGGCCAAGTTGTTTTTTTATATAAAATCAACGCCTTTGTTTTTCCTTTTCCAATGTTTCTGGTCAAAATATTGGTGGCGACTCCATAAGAACCCCTTTTCGAAAACCTTGCTTTTATTAGAGGATAATTCAATTGTCAAACACCTCGGAAGCAATGAACACATTTTAAAACAAATACGCGAGTCTAAACCATCTTTTCGCGACCGCTCGCATAAACGTTTCCAGACGTCCTCCGACGTCGAAAAGGGACGGCGACGACAGATGGCGACTCCGCTGGGGAAGCTAGAGAGTTGATCCCATTTAGTGACAGATAAATTCAAACTAAGTAAAGATTTGAAATTACGCCTTTACCCTTCTGTATGTTTTTATTGTGTGGCTTTATATAACTGCTGTATGATTATTTCTGCAATTGTTTGAAATATAAATTGCACACAAAAACCCTTGCACACAACGAGTCCCTCTATACCCGAGGGCAAGAGTGAATATCTATAGGGAGTGGGTGGCGGATACGATCGGTTAGTTGGCACACGGGGCTACTACCGTTGTCTGAAAACCACCAACTCAAGGTGATAACTCTCTTCTTTCGGTCTAAGGGTGTCGCCACGGAGTTCCGTGCATGACCCGAGGATCGAGAGATTGAGAGGTCCCTATAATGGGGGCACCTTGGGGACCTTTGGCCTGGTGAGAACAGTTAGAACCACCTAAACCAAGCACGTTTCTGCAGGAAAACCCTACCTCGTGATTAAATAAGCGTGGCTCGCTCGTGGATGTATGAATTGTGTGTACATACGTTTGCTCGCATTTGTATTGATGCATTAGCATAGGGTAATCATACAAAAAAAAAATGAAAAAACAAGTTAAAATCATAAAAATACCTTTATTATAAAATAAAAAAAATTATTAATAAAAGTCTCATCACCTTTTCTTCATCAAAAATAAAAAAGGAAGAAAATAGGACTCTCTTTATCAAAATCCATAAACATTCATATAGATAAGTTTTCTTTTTGAGAAAAACCCAAGTACTACCATGAATCATATTAGGAACAAAACATGATAATACTTAGAAAAACAAACACTTGCATACACGCATTTACAAAAACTCATCCTCATATCATGCATTTTCATTTCTCGCTAGACAATGGAGGGATCCAAGAATAGACAGCTTAAAGAAAGTGGAGATCCTTCTATGCCGTGTAGAGAAGTTAAGGCATTTGTGTACATGTATGCCGCCGAGGTCTATGTTAACTTTGAGAAGTCTTACGGAAGAATTCTTGACCTCCCGAAAATCAGCATTGATCCAATATTTGTTAGAGCATTGGTCCACTTCGGAGTCCCGATTTACACCGCTTCGAATTCTCGCAGCTTGACTTGGTACCAACCTTAGAAGAATATGAACTCATGGTTAGATGGCCTCAATCAGCTTGGAATTTATGTCTCGCTCAGGAGAATATACGGCGTGAGTAAGGTTGCTACTATTATACGATCGCCTCCTCATCAATCTACCCTAGAGGGAAAAGGGAATATCGGAGGTTGGAAAATGGCTATAATAGAAGACCACTTAGTCTCTTTAGCCGAAAAGAAGGACTGGTCTACATTCAACAAGACTCTAGCATTAGCAATGTTCGGAATCATATTATTCCCATTCCATGTGAACATCGTGGATCATGCCTGCAATGGACGCATTCTTTGCCTCGGGATGTATATTCACAGAGTCCTATACCTGCAATCCTTGCCGATACCCCGCTTTCGTAGAATTTTGCCGACGAGACGAGGAAAAACACTCGGATGTTGTACTTCACTCGCTATATGTATGGGGTGTTACTCACTTTTACGCCTCAAGCCACATGGGTGTATTTCCCGACCCTTTAAGAAGTTTCTCAAGAATCCCTCTTCAACATCGTCAAGCTTTAGAGTGGAAAGCCGAGTTAGAAAACTGGAGCATAGAGCATGTATCTTGGGTTTGTCCTTGGTTCCGACCCGGTTATATTCCGGTACGATGCGGAGATTACCCGAGCATACCACTTCTAGGTCTCGGAGGTTGTATAACCTACTCTCCTAAAATGGCTTTGAGACAACTTATGAGAACACAGCATTGCGCCAACCCAAGAAGAGCTCGGAGGACTGAGTCCGTGCCACTATTCCCATAGCTTTGAAGAAGTATCTGCGTCCGGAAAGCATGGGAAAGACCAGTCTACATGGGAGACAAAGAACTTGGAAAGACTCGGTATCTACATCCCGCGAGTACGAGGAATGGAGGAAAAATAGAGGGATACCCCAACCATCCGTTACAATCACTACAACTTTAGTGAATGAAGAGTTGCAATTACAAGTCAATGCATTACATAAAAAGGTTGAAGTCATGGAAGCTCAGCCTAAGAGCCTTCGAAGGAAAAGAGCAAGAATCAGCCCTTATAATAGATGGTCTAAAAAGGCAATGCAAAAAGAAGGACCATGAGATAGAGCTTCTCAAGAATGATTATGCCGACTACCAAGAAGAAGCTAGACAAGCATTGAAGATGCCGAGGCTTGAGCAAGATAGCCTATTTCGGGACATGAGCGATGAAATAGCACATCTTGAGAGTACGCTTGCGTAACGTGCAAAAGCGATCAAGCTAATACATGATGATCTAGCGAATACTCTGGCCGAAGCACAAAAGTGGTGGGAAACCGCTGAAAAATACAGAGAAGACCTGGAGGAGCTACGTAAAAAAGAAAAAGATGGATTAGCTCAATACGGTCAACTACTTCGTGAAAGAGACCAAGTAAGAGAGAGGTCCGACCAGCGAAGCATGCTTTGATCGTTCATCTAGGAGAAAAGATGAGAGTGGCTTGTCGATATAGTGAAGATATGAGTCAGCAAGACATGAGCAAATCAAGATACTCGGAAACCATGTGAGAACAAACTGAGGATGAATTACGAAGAAAGCCTAATTTACCTATAGGATTCTTCAAGCTTTTCCGTTTTTGTCAAGCACTCGCTTCAAAGCATTGTATAGAAGGATTTACACTTTCTAATAAAAAGATTTTTTTCCCTTAAATTGTCTATTGCATTCATAAATTGCATACATTCACATATCCCTCCTCATTTTAATAAATAAAGATAATAAAAAGAAAGGATTAACCGATGTGCTTTCCACGAATCGAAAAATGGAAAAGAAGCCTTTCGTCATCAAAATCTCTACGACGGTCAATAAATCCAAGACGATAACAAACAAGCATCGTTAATCATTCCAATCGATAAAAGGGAAGAAACAATAACGCCTTTACGTTTATTTGTACCTCGTCCTTTCCCTTATTCATCAAATAAAGCCGTACC